CCTGTCTCCCTCGCCCAGGGACAAGACGGTCAATCACCAGCCAGCAGACATCAGGGAGGTCACCAGAGAAGAGCAGGGGTTCTTGGTAGCAGTGGTCAAGCAGACAACCAGAGCCACCCTTGGAGCAGCTCAGGAGCAGAGCCATGGCACAGCTGATGGGGTGCCCCAAGACTGGGGATCAACACCCCCTTGCTGCTGAGAGTCCCACCACGGCCTGAACTGCTGCTGTGCGTGGGAACCTGGTTGCCCCTCCCTGGGAGGCCCAAATCTGAAGCTGAGGGCCCATTTTCCTTATTTCTACTTGCCACTTTCCAATAAGCCCGGGTTTCCTGAGCCCATTGTGGGCTTCTGATGCTGAAAACACAAGGCCTCATCTTGGGATGGTGCCCTGGGGTATGCTGCTGCCCTGGGCCTCCCAGGTTCACAGCTCAGACTCTGGATACAGAGGAAGGATTCAGGGGGCACTCATTTCCTCAGGACAACCCATTCCTCAAAGCCTCTTTTTTTTTTTTTTTTTTTGCTTTCTCTGGTTCCTGCAGAATAGATGAGCACAGGCCCCATAGCCGGCGGACACACTGGGGAAGACCCAGAGAAAGTCCACAGGCATCCCTCGACTCCTGCCCTGTCCTCTTCCCAAACCTTACCATCCAGGAGAGCCAGGGCTCTGCCAGGCCCTGCCAGAGGCCTCCCGCTCCGGCAGCTCATGCTGACCTCATCCTTCCGCTTCCCACTGACCACAGCTGTGGCCTGGTCGCTAGCCTCCCTCACGGGCACTGTGGTTCCACACAGGGCCATCAGACTGCAAAGGGAAGATCCAGTGTCCCGGGTTCCTCTCCTCTCCTGCTGTACCAGGGCCTGGGGCAGGACACTCACGACAACCAAATAACTCTCATGACTGAGGACTTGGAAGTGTGACCCTAAATTCCAGGGGACACAGAGTCTGAGGAAGTCCCAGGAGCACACCTGAGACCACTTTAGAGCCAATCACCCCGAGAACCACGCAGCAGAGGTTCCAGCTGATAAGACACCAGGCCCAAGACCCCTCTCCCTGGCTGCTCAGCTGGGGAGGCAGAGCGAGCCCTGGTGGCACAGTGGTTAAAGCACTTGGCTGCTAACCACAAGGTCAGCAGTTCGAACCCACCAGCCACTCCACTGGAGAAAGATGGGACAGTCTGCTTCCGTCAAGATTCACAGCCTTGGAGACCCTATGGGGCAGTTCTACTCTGTCCCACAGGGTCGCTACGAGTCGGAATCGACTCGATGACAGTAGGTTTTTCTACCTTCAGCCTGCCCAGCCCCACTTAGATTACCAGGCCTGCCAGCCTGCTTGGCTGCCTCTGAAGAGAAAATCGCAGCTGGCTCCATCCAGCTCTGTCCCACCCAACTCCACCAGGCCCACAGAGGGCAGGAACTGGGGATTGGCTCCTGGCAAGCACTTTGCTGAGAGCTGTCAGCCCCAATCCAGACTGTCAGGCCCAAACTTGGGGGCTTTCAGATCTACTTCTCAAACTTGGAGTCACATGTAAGCTCACAGCAACCCCATGAGACAGGAAGGACAACCTGGATTCTCCCTACTTTACAGATGAGAAAACCGAGTCCAGAAGAAAAAAAAACTGCAGATTTGTCTAGGTCACTGGGCTAGAAGGTAGTCACAACCCAAAAGCTGGCCTCCCCACTGCTGGGTGTACGAGCAGGGCAGTGTTACTCACCCTTGCGGTGTAGGGCAGATACATACTTCCACCATCCAGGCCCTGTGCTGTCTGAACCCAAGACACACAAAGGCAAAAACGTGTGCATTCCGCACACCGCAGACCGACTCAGTCCCAAAAGACACTGCTCCAATGGAGGCAAACTGGAAACACAGGCATTCCCCCAGCCCAAAGGTTCGCACCTCCCTGAGGACCCCTCCTCCTCACAGGTGGCAGAGCAGCAGCTCTGAAAAGAGGAGGAAATAACTCCTAAGGATGGCGAGCTGACGCCATGCAGAGGAACACGGTCTCACCCCTCCACCAGTGTCTCCTGGCCCTGCTGGAAGTCATCAGAAGCCAAGCCAGTGAAAAGCACAGATGTGCAAGGTCCAGAACATGCCCAGCTCTTTAACGCCCTGCCAACGCAGCTGGGGGGGAGAAACCCAATTAACAAAGGGGGCGATTCCACCTTCAGTACCCTCACCACCTCTTTCTTCCACACCCCAGGCCCGCAAGCTCAGCCCCAGATCCCAGAGAGGGCAGGGGGAGGGCAGGGCCTGCCAGGGTGCCTCCACAGCCTTCCAGCAAGGTGGTGGCCATGTTCGGGTGGGGACTGAAGAGCATGCACTCAAGGGCTGAGACCCCAGGGTAGTGAAAGGGCGCAGGAGCCCCCTTCCCTCCCTAGGCACTGACACCCGTCTTTAAAGGTCACTGGCCCCCAGCAGCAGGGAACAGGGGCCACCACCCGAGGTCACAGCCTGTAGCGCAAGGCCTGGGGGTGCACACATGCCCCGTGAGAGTGCTTAGTCTGAGATTCATAGAGACGGAAAGCAGACGGGAGGTTACCAGGGGCCGGGGGAGGGGGAGGGAAGCATTACTGCTTAATGGGTATAGCGTTTCTATTTGGGGTGATGAAAATGTTTTGGAAATAATAATGGCTGCACAATATTCTGAAAGTAATCAATGCCATAGAAACGTACACTTGAAAAGGGTTAAAATGCCAAATTTTATGTTATGTATACTTTACCACAGTAAAATCAAAAAAAAAAAAAAAAAAAAGTTCTTAGCCAGGAATTCACCACTAGACCTGGGTCCAAGAATGAACAAATGAATGAGGAGACCCAAGGAACTCAAATAATTGGCCGAGGACCAGGGGAGCAGGCTGCCTCTGCAGATCTGACTGCCCTAATGCGCACTCTTGTCCACTGTACTGTCGTCTGCAAATGTGGCAGCTCAGCTCTTCTTTAACCTGAACACTGCTTCTCTGACTAAATCACACCACCACACGGGACCCCAGACCTGGGCAGAGGTCAGGAGGAAGGCAGTGTGGGAGGAACCAGCACTGCTGACCAGTGCTTCCAGTCCTCTTTCCCGCCCCCTGGAGGTGTGACCATGTGACCGGCTTTGGCCAACGAAGTGCCACTTCTCGGCAGACGCTTTAAGAGCCAGGTCCAGACCGACCCTGCTCTGTCTCTCTGCCTAAGCGACCAGCAAGGTTCCAATTAATCAGCATGGGTCCCACAGTGAGAACAACAGAAAGACAAGTAGCAATGGATGTGTGGTGTGGGCAAGACATAATTCTTTGCTGCTTTAAGCCTCGAAGATTTGGGATTGTTACCACCAAAAACCAAACCAAACCCGCTGCCGTCGAGTCGATCCCGACTACAGGACAGAACAGAACTGCTCCGTAGGATTTCCAGGTTGGATTCCAACTGCCGACCTGGTTAGCAGCCGTAGCTTTTAACCACTGCACCACAGCAAACTTTAGTCTATCCAGTCGAATACCAGCAGTGACTCTCCAATCTTGTATGCAAGACAATTTAGGGAGATACCAGGCAATCAGCAGGGGTTCCAGGGCACCGGTTACATGCCCAGGCTGTGCTAGAGATGAGCACGCTTTCAGGAGCAGGTGTACGTTACCTGCACTGAGCGGGTCTTAGTTCCGCCTGGGCCAGACACGTTCATGTGGGTTAACTGACTTTAACCATCTCTGGGGCGAAGGCATTGTGTGTTTTAAAAATGAGGAAACCCAGCTCATCCTGAAACGTCTGGGCCACAGTTTCGTCATGTGTAAAATGGGGCCATCAGCCATTCAGGGTTGTTGCAACAGATTAAGTTTCCAGGACAGCGCTCGGTTTCTCTGCCACCAAACTTCCACGTTATTAAGCCTACAGTATTATTTCTGTAACCTTGTCCATAGCCTTCACTTGACTGTAAACCCAGCTAAGGTTGCCCAGGACTAACACAATGGCACACTGTCGGCCCTGCCAAACTGAATTCTACCCCTGGTGAAGTCAAACAAGCAATAAGCCAAATTCTGAGCATGTGGTGGCCTAGAGTGAGGCCTCAGGAAATGTTTCCAAAACCCAGGGCTGCCCTGGCCTCTGAGGGAACTTCACTACCACCAAGTGCCCCCCAAACCAGGTAGCCTCACCCTCCTAATCCCAAACGTTGGAAGACACACTCACTTGTAGAGACTAACAGCCACTCATTTCATAAAAGGGGTAATGTCCCTAGATAGCCTACCCTTCCAGAGCCCCCTCCTCTCAATATCCTTGCTTCCTGGAGACAGCCACAAGCCTCCAGAAGCACCAGTGGGCTCAGACTCCTGTCGGCCTGAACAACGCTAAGCCAAGCTCAGATCAGTAAACACTAGAGAAGGCACTCCTGGGCTCTATGACCCCTGGGGGCTCATGGCCAGTCAGGGAGCTGTGAGCCCTGCGTGGCGCCTGGCACCGACCCCATGGATCTCCATTATGGTGTGTGAAATGAGTTAACGATCTCATTAGGCAGTCCAGCAATGCAGTTCAGAGATGTCAGGTGGAAAATCAATAAAGTCCCCACATGAAGAAGGGGTGCAACAAAGTGAGACACAATGAGAGCGAGAGGGGATAACCCCCTGGTGGCCTGGGCTTCCAGGACCCTGAAACCTAGACATTTGGGATCCTCAGGATGGACAAAGCGTGGGGACAGCCTGGGAGGGACTGGAAGGGCATATGGAGTCATGGCTGGAGAGTGTGGGATTCATTCTAAAGGTGCCAGGACAGAGGGTCCTGGAAAGACAGTTGCCTGGACCATCCACTGAGCCGGCTGGATGTAGAGGGGACACAAAGTTGTGGGGTGCTCCGACAGCCTGGGCCCCAGGTTTCCCTTCACAAAAAGGGAAGGCTGGCATTCAGCAGGTGCTAACGCGTCCCCTGCAAGTCATAGGTCAAGCGGCAGGGGAGGGCTGCTTTTGAGGATTTGGCAGACAGCTGGACCCACTCCCATCCGCAAGACCCTCCAGTGAGCAGGCCACTGCAGAGAACGCACCTGAAGAGGCTCCAATGCAAGCTCTGCACTCACTGCCTGACGACCCGAGGTCCCCAGACTCCAGCGCCGGGGAGAGGAAAGGGGCACACACACCACCGCTCACGGATCTCGCCAGCCACCAGGCCAGTACCCGGGAGGACGACTTCCTCTGACTCCCACGGAATGGACTGCTTCTAGCCAACTTCACGTCCCTGAGACAAGTGTCCCCGAAGTCCCTCAACACACACCCACTCCTCTTGGGGTGGAGCAGTGCCCGGAACGAGACAACTCTATAGTCAAAGACCCAGCTCGGCCGAAGCTCCGGCTGGGTCACTTCCTACTCAAACTCGGGCCGCCCCAAACTCACGCGGGACAGAGTGGGACGCACCGCCAGTGTAGGGGATTTGGAGAACGCCCACGGTGAGGCGAGGGGAGAGGGCGTTGTCCCAGTACCCCACTCCGGGGCGGCCTAGCGCTCAGGAAGAGGCGGCGAGCACCGCGCCAGCGCCCCGCACGGCCTGCGACCCAGCCGGAAGGCGTGCCCACCCCGGGGCTCGCGGCTGGGGGCAGGGGCAGAGTCC